CGACCTGATTTGCTACCTGAAGACCTGTCACGTATCAGTTTTGGTTGGGACTCTTGGCTGAGACTTTCCCTGATGTTTTTCATAGGGCGAGGAGAACGAAGCTGCGGCGGCTCAAGTCGTGGACGGCACGTTGGCCAAAGGCTGCAACCACTCCAGTAACTCGGTAGAGAGTTTGTTCAGCTTGCACAGCGGCCAGAGTTCATCTAGTAAGCTGAATTAAACTAGTCGACCATTTATTATATGGATCACGGTAAATGTAAAACAGCTGCCACAGAAGCCAAAATGTACTGCTTACTCAATTGACATTTTGGCGCAGATGTGCATTTGACATTTCAGCCATGTGGTTTGAGTTTCACTGGTTGTTTTTGCATTTCCTGATGCTTTAGGTGGTGTGACAAGCGGCTCTGAGGGTTGTAGTAACAGGGACAGCCTTCGTTTAGAAGAAGATATGCCCTACACGGGCCAGTTCTGTGGAAGAGCCAAGGTCCACACCGACTTCGTTCCCAGTCCATATGACACAGAGTCTCTCAAACTCAAGGTAAAAACCAACCTGAGATGTTCAGGAATAAAAAAACGAATTCAACTCAACTCAGAGCTATTAACATATGTTATTTTTCATTTGTAAGGTGGGAGATGTGATTGATATCATCAGCAAACCTGCAATGGGAATCTGGACTGGGATGTTGAACAGCAAAATAGGAAACTTTAAGTTCATCTACGTTGACGTGCTGGTGGAAGAAAGTGCGCCAGAACCGAGGATTCGCTCTCACCGGAGGAGCAGAAGACCTCGACCCAAAACTCTTCAGGAACTTCTGGAAAGACTCAATTTGGAGGTGCTTAAAATGTCTAATTAAATACTAAAGCTGATGATTAAGCTTGTTATACCCACAGATTGACATTCAAACATCTCAAACACCGAATGTAAGGTATTATCTGATGTAGTTGGTGCTGTTTTAACAGACAAAAATGTTTCCGCAGGAGCACATTTCATCTTTGCTGTTGAATGGGTATCAGACAGTGGAAGATCTTCGGGATTTGAAGGAGCAGCATCTCGTAGAGCTCAATGTGACCGACCCTGAACACAGACACCGGCTGCTATTAGCGGCAGAATACCTGCAGGACCCTGAATGTAAGTGGTTGAACATCAGAAGTCATCAAAATATTAATAAATTCCAGGAAATGGCACATTGATGATGCCTTTTTGGCATTTTAGCTTTTATATAAAAGTTCTCACAGTTTAAGCACTGATGTAGGATGAGCACCTCAGCGCTGTGATCGTACAGTGTTTTCGAAGCTCAAAAACAAACCTCATCAAAGCCACATGGGTTGAAAACACATTTTCCCTCAGATAAAAATCTAGTTCCTTTCCACACGTGTCTGATAACTTTATTGACATAAAAAAAATGAAAACAAAACGAAGATGAGATAAAATAGTTAATTAAAAAATAAAATTAAAATAAATAAAATATATTTTATAAATTTAAAATGTAAAATATTTAAAAATGTTTAAGAAAATAAAAATATTAAACATTTGAACAAAATGTCATGACATAAATGGAACACAAAACAAGGACTGAATAAAAAGGATTAGTAAAATATATTTTTAACTATACAATTTGTGTGTATGAATAAAAATGGTTGTCATAATGGGAAATTTAATAAAACAAAAATGAGATAAAATACATTTTAACATACTGTATATTGTTTTTAAATTAGATGTTAAAATGTTTAAATTAGATGTTTTATATAAAGCGGGTAAAATAAGTATTGAACACATGACCATTTTTCTCAGTAAATATATTTCTAAAGGTGCTGTTGACATGAGAGTTTCACCAGATGTAGGTAACAACCCAAGTAATCCAATACATACAAAGAAAACAACAAATAAGTTCAGAAATTAAAGGGGTCATATGATGTTGCTAAAAAGAACATTTTTGGTGTAATGAAATGTTTGTGGTTTAAGGTTAAAAAACCACATTATTTTCCACATACTGTACATTATTGTTTCTCCTCTATGCCCCGCCTTTCTGAAATGCGTTGATTTTTACAAAGTTCATCGGTCTGAAAAGCGAGGTGTGCTCTGATTGGCCAGCTATCCAGTGTGTTGTGATTGGCCGAATACCTCAAGCGTGTGACGGAAGTGTTACGCCCCTTACCATATTGTGATGCCCTGTCCGGCCGGAGCGACGAGACAAAAACATTAAAACCCATTATAAACAAGGCATTTGTTGCATCCAGTGGGGACATAATTACGGATTATAATGACTTACACTGTTTTTTTGTTTTTTTTTACGCGTTGCATTGCATCACGCTGCGTAAACATAAAACCATGTCTGCATTTGTGATCGGAGAAATGACAAAC